AGTATTACTTGGCACTATATTTAAAGTACATTCTAACAAACATAAATCAATATCTACAGAGACATGAAGTAGAAAACCTCACTGCTTTCCATTTAAACTTCAGGATCTCTACCAGATCCTGAGCAATACGCTCTTTCTAGCAAAGAGACAAAAATTGGAATACTTTATACTTGCTATTATTTATTCTGGTAGATTGTATCACCTGATGTAAAGTTTCCATGAATGATTCCTGAAAACATCATACACAAATTATTTAGGAACCAGCTCTTTCTCCAACTGTTGGCATAATTTTTGGGTGGTGTTCGGGTGTTTGTGTTTTTGGAGGATTCATAAAACTGGTTATTATGACACTGATTACTAAATCGTTGATTCTTTACTTCCTAATTTATTAGACTATTTTGTTTCATTACGAGTTCAGAGCATCAAAGAGCTTTGTCCTTGATGACAAAAAAAATGAGTAAAGACAGTCATATATACCTAGCCTGACAAAAGAACAGTCCCAGAAAGATTTCAAGAGCTTTACAGAGACTGCAAATTTTCACCTTCAAAGTCTGACCTTTCAGTTGACATTGTAACAGTCAGCTGAGGCCAGGATACAGTATCTTAATCATGATTACCTTTATCTGTACCATACACTACAACCTGGAAAATCTTCTCAATAGGAACAAGAAGGGGCCAGTAAGGTGTGATGGTTAACAGGCTCTCAAGCAGACTGACTGGGGCTAGAATTTTAGCTCGGCCACTTAATTTACTCTGTGACTTAGAAAAAGATGTTTTAATCTTTCTCAGTTACACATTCCTCCTCTTTAAACTGATGCTAAAATAGCATCTACCTTTAAGTGTATAGAGAGAAATAAATGAGTGAATTCATGGCAAGTGCTTAGAACTGTGCTGGGCAAACAGCTGAAGAAATATCATCCATTCTATTAAAAGTATTTAACACTGGCCGGGCGCGGTGGCTCACGCCTGTAATCCCAGCACTTTGGGAGGCCGAGGCGGGCGGATCACAAGGTCAGGAGATCGAGACCATGGTGAAACCCCGTCTCTACTAAAAATACAAAAAATGAGCCGGGCGCGGTGGCGGGCGCCTGTAGTTCCAGCTACTCGGGAGGCTGAGGCAGGAGAATGGCGCGAACCCAGGAGGCGGAGCTTGCAGTGAGCCAGGATCGCGCCACTGCACTCCAGCTTGGGAGACAGAGCGAGACTCCGTCTCAAAAAAAAAAAAAAAAAAAAAAAAAAAAAAAGTATTTAACACTATCTTTCAAGATGAAAGCCTTGCCCTGAAGCTCAAGCCATGTGCCTCCAAGTTACGTGCTCTTTACATTATGTAGGGGATTGGCTACTGCTGTGTTGCTCTTCCTCCAAGAGCCATAAGGCATGGAGCCCTGACAGCAGATTCCTGTTACCTCAGGTGCAAGTCATAAAAAAAGGTCAAATACATCTCCTTGGCTTTTCTTTCATTTCCCATGTTAACAGATTTCTCTGAAGGACAATTATTTTGCCATGACCCATCTAGCCTCTGGCATACAGCCTCTCACCTGTCACTTCAAACTTTTATATAATTCTTAATAAGCTGACAATATTCGATTGGGTAATCATTTTCTTCTTTTTAAAATTTATTTTTATTTTTTGAAATAGGGTCTTGCTCTGGCACCAAGGCTGGTTTCAAACTCCTGGTCTCAGGTGATCCTCCCGGCACTGGCCTTCCAAAGCGCTGGGATTAGAGGGACGCTTCACCACACCTGGCCAAGGTAATTATTTTCATCTTCCTCAAGTAATGCAAGGTGTTAACATTTGGTGACAGGTACTTTGTCTTTCACAAAACACAAAAACGGCACTGTGAATTGGGATGAGTTTGTTCCCTACTGTAGCCAAAGACATCATGATGACAGGTCCTAAACCTGGACATTTATACTGAATTTCTCCTAGAAAGCATAAAGTTTACAAGGCTAGACACAATACTCTGAAGAGAGCATATTTGTTATCGCAAAACCTTCATTTTAATTTTTCTTTCTGATATTTGAAATTGCAGGCACTGTATGGATAGCCTGAATGCAACTGTATACTGAAAAAGGAAACCACTTATTTAATAGCTGCTGAAAGAAGTTCAAATCGTATCTATTTGTCAGAAGTCTATTTCAAACCTTCCAAAGCCTATTCTAATTTATTGCCGGATAAGATCCCACCTTTGACTTTTCACACCACCTTGCTTATATTCCTTTTATGGCAAATATTAGAATTATTATTTGCAAACATGTTTTATCTTCAAAATATATCCAGAATCCAACAGCTTCTAACTAATCATCTTCACTGCTACCATTTTGGTCCAAACCACTGTCATCTTTTCCCTGGATTACTACTGCGATATCCTTCTAACTGGTTTTGTTGTTTTCACTCTGGTCCTCCCACTTCCACACCAGACTATACTTAACATAGCAGTTAGCATGATTCCATAGAAACTGAGGCCATATTATGTCACTTCTCTCCTAAATCCACCTCACCCAGAGTAAAGGCCAAAGTTCTTTTTTTTTTTTTTTTTTTAAAAGACAGAGTCTCACTCTGTTGCTCAGGCTGGAGGGCTGGAGTGTAGTGGCATAATCTTGGCTCACTGCATCCGCCTCCTGGGTTCAAGCGATTCTCCTGCCTCAGCCTCCCAAGTAGCTGGGATTACAGGTGCATGCCACCACACCCGACTACTTTTTAATATATTTCTGGTAGAGACAGGGTCTCACCATGTTGGCCAGGCTAGTCTTGAACTCCTGACCTCAAGTGATCTGCCCGCCTTGCCCTCCCAAAGTGCTGGGATTACAGGAGTGAACCACAGTGCCCGGCTCCAAAGTTCTTATCAAAGGCCCAGGAGGCCCTACATGATGTGCTTCCTCTGCGCCCCCAGCCCCCAACTGCCCAGCTTCTACTTTTTCCTTCACTCACTCCTGATGTTCCCTAAACTCATCAAGCATTCTCCTGTGACAGCACGTTGCACTTGCTGTTCCCCTTGCGTAGAAAACAACTCTTCCAGGTATACGTGTGCCTCACTTCCCAGCTTTCTCCAAGTTTCTGCTAAAATGTAATCTTATTAAATAAGACAATGTCTCTTACCATCTCATATAAAAATGGCAAGTCCCTTCTCTCTTCCCCATCTCCATCCCCTTTACAATGCTTTTGTTTTTCCAACAGCCCTTATCACCACAAAGCATATTATTCACTCATTGATTGCATGTTTCTCCTCCCTTCAATAAAACGTAAGTTCCGGGAAGGAAGAGACTTATCTGTTCACTGCTGTATCCCCAGCACCTAGAACAGTGCTTGGCACACAGAATGCAATCAATAAACATTTACTGAATAAATGAACAAACTTCCACTTTATTATTATTTTTTAAAGAGACAGGGTCTTGCTCTGTGGTTCAGGCTGGAGTGCAGTGGCATAATCGTAGCTCGTAAGATCCTTTCTGATATGTGAAATTGCAGGCAGTCTATGGATAGCCTGAATGCAATTCTGCAGCCTCAAACTCCTGGGCTCAAGCGATCCTTCCGCCTCAGCCTCCAGAGTAGCTGGGACCACAAGCAGGTACCACCATGCCCAATGACCTTCCACTTTAGAACATAAACTCCTTGAAGGTTCCGCCTGATTCTTGATACTGTTCACATCATCAACTGTGGTGACGTTCATTTAACAGACCTTAACAAAATTTTTGAGTGAAGAGCAAGGGAATCTAAGTTACTGAGAATACTTGGGGTAAGTCTACAAGGAATTACGGGAATCAACAATCCAAGCAACTGCATACAGAGCACCCTGGTTCTAAAACGAAAAGGTGGTTGTGGAAAGCGGAATCAGATGTTTCTCCATCTACCAACATTTTGGGCAGTATTTCCAAGGCATTCATGAAAGTTGCTGAGACAGTAAATATTTCACTCCTTAAACTGTTCGTCTTAATTCACTGGGATTAAACGGCTGTATGTTTCAGGACTCTGTCCTGGTTCGTGCCCTACTCATATCATTTAATCTTCCTAATAAATCCATGCACATAAGATTTTAATCCACTGACACTGGGCAAAGGAGGCAACGTGGACTCGGGGAGGGCAGTGGCCGGCTCAAAGTGGCTGGGCTAATAGGTGTCAGTGCCAGGATTCTAACCCAGGACATTTGGCTTCTGGGCCATGGAACCCCGGCACCCAGGCCTTTCGAGGTTGACTAACTTAAGAGCCGGCTCCGCCTCTGCAGGAGTTGCCTCCCAAAAGGCAGAAATACGATTGCGCAGACGACGAGAACAGCCCAAGTTCTTCACCCAGGTTCCCGCGGGATCAGGAGCCTTCAACATTTCTCAAGGAATGCAGTTTTGCCCACAGATGCTTCGAAAACCCAAGTTTCCTGATCGTTGGTATGACACACCCAGGATTATGCGAGCGTATGCGAGAAGCGCTCTGCAAACCGCCAGGCGAACGGCAACGAAGAGGAAGCCTCGGAAACAATACCTGAATGAGGCGAGGGCTGAAGAACTTGCTGACAATGGGCACCGGTCAATGCTCAGGGGCGGGCGGGGATGCTCAAGAAGGGCTCCAGTCCTCCCCGCGGAGACGGCGGAGCCCCAAGCGTGCGTTTCTGGGGCGCCGAGGTCTGAGGGGGGACCGGGAGAGCCAGGTCGGTCTTAACAAGCCCCCAGACCCCTCTTAACACGGGCGCGGGGCCCCTGCAGCCTGCCGCCCCTCTCGGCCCAGCCCGCTGCGCGGCGTCGCGTCCCCGTCCGGAAGGCCCCACGGCCCGCCGGCGCCCCGAGCCCCTAGCCCTTCTCGGAGGCCGCCCCTCGCCCGCAGCCCGCCCGGCGGCTGCTTACCTGCGCACCCGGCGTCCTCTGCTTCTTCCCTCCGGAGGCGACTGGAGCCGACCGGCGGTGCCGCCCCCTCCCTCCCCGCCCTCGCCCGCCCCGCCCCGCCCCCTCGGAGCCGGAACTGCTCCGGCTCCCGCCCTTCTGCCCGCCTTCCGCGGCCCCCTGTGTGGTGTCACTTCCGCCAGCGCTCGACGGCGCGCCGGGAGTCTGGGTCTCGCGAACGCGTCAGAAGCGTCCCTACAGCCGGGAACGCGCCTCGCGGATGACAACAAATTCGTCGCGCGGCGGCAGTGAAGGTGTCTGCCTCAGCCCCTGCCGCCTCCCCTCGCGCTCTCTTGCACTCTCTCTGAGCCGGTTGGGATCTCCCTCGGAAGTCCCCTGGCCTGGGGCCAGGAGGACCCCTCTGCGTCTTGCCTCCGCCAGGCCCAGCGCGAGCGGCGCGGCGCCGGCGATGGGGTCTCCCTGAGGAACTCCCGGCGCCAAACAGCGATGAAGGGGCCGCCCCAGGCTTAGGCCCCGCCGCGGCCTGGAGCCGGAGTCGCTGCTCTGAGGCCGGAGCCACCGCCACCCGCAGCCGCAGTCAGCCCAGCTGCCAGCAGTCACCATGCCTTGGCCGTTTTCGGAGTCTATCAAGAAGCGGGCCTGCCGGTACCTCCTGCAGAGGTACCTGGGCCACTTTCTGCAGGAGAAGCTGAGCCTGGAGCAGCTCAGCCTGGACTTGTACCAAGGCACCGGGTCCCTCGCCCAGGTCCCCTTGGACAAATGGGTAAGAGCTGCCGGGCAGCCAGCCGGGCGGGGCTCGCTCCCCTCTTTAGGGCGCTTTGAACCGGTGCCATCCAAGATTGGTGACAGTCATTCCCTCCTTGGGAATTGTTTGGACCCGAGTGTGGCACGGCTCAGAGAAATGTGTTAGAGTGTTGTTTAATCTGTTTAACAAGTTTGCTCTCCTGAATCACGTGTTCCGGAAACTTAACAGATGTAATGGAATCTACACTATGGGAATAATTGAGTCAGTGCTTCGGGGGGTCTGTGAAGCAGGCTCAATAGGTCCGTGGGAGGAGGTGACCAGAATTGTCCCTTGGGATGTGAGGGGCCGCAGGGTTTTGTGGCAAACAAACCCTGCCTTGTGCGATGACATTCTGGAACGATTAAGGATGAAGAGGACCTCTGGATGTCAGAATCACTAGTTATTGGTTTTGGGTTGGCTACTTGCACACCATGTTTGCCTTGTTTGTCATCGTGCAGCGTTTGCCATCTGGAAGAAAGTTAGGTGAAGGCCTCCTGTGCCGGTTTGCCTGCTTTTGCTTGATTATATGTTTACAAGATAGGTTTGTGTACCCAGCCTGTGAATGGTCGTGTGGCCCTAGTAGTGCTGTTGAGTTATGCCTCTTTGCTCCACGTGACAGATCGTAAAAGCAGGTGTTGCAAAAGCGCTAAAGCTGCAATTTTCAGACATTTTAAAACCTGTCTTCTACTTGTCATCTAGAGGCTGTGAGTTCACTCATTGGTATACAGGTGCTTCATCTGAATTTCAACTCACCACATACAGTTGTACCTGCATTTGTGTGTTCAATGCATAATATTTTACTTAAAAGTATATTCACTTTTGGGTTTGACAGGAATAGAGTGGCTTCTACCCTTTGCCCAACCCATACTTCCTTAGCCACAGAAAATCTTAAATGATGGAAATACCTTATTATGACCCTTAAGTGAATTTGTGCTACAGACTATAAATCAGTATATAATTTTATCAGTATGTACATGACTTAAACTAGGGAGAGTACGCAAGATAGTGGAAAGAGCCCTGGTTTGAGAGCAGTAAGACCCAGTCCCTCACCAGGAGGTGAGAGTCCTACCCTTGGACAGACTCTCCAGTCCGCCACAATTAGCCAAATGGTAATGGACTTAGCAATTCACCGGAGTTCAGTCAACACTAATGGAGCATACACTTCATCTCTGTGTGGTATTATGGTATTGTAATGCTGTAATTCTTTAAAAAGATAGGGATTCTGATGTATATTTTTGAATTCAACGACCCATAATTCTATACTTTTTATACGGTTATGAATAGATTATCTTGAAAAAAGAGGGTTCAAGATTTATTGATGCCTTTTGTGGGTCGAAGGACTTTATATGCATTATTCTTTGATGACTTTAGCCCTATAAGGTGGGCATTAATATTTCCATTTTACAGATGGAGTTAAGCAATTTGCCCCGTCGCACATCTAGCAAGTATTACATCACATGGCCTAACATCAAAAGAAAGGCAGTTAATGTTTATTGAGTATGTATTTATGTCAGGCATTGTAGTAGGCACTTTCATTTGTGAGGTTTTATTTAGTCCTTATGGGAAGTCAGAGGTAGTGATATTTGAATTTTATAGTTTGAGTTCAGAAGCATTGGCAAAATGATTTTTGACTAAACTTAATCTGAGGATTATGTTTTGTTCTTGATGGGTGGGTTTTGTAAACTAAAATAATGTTAAAGCATCCAGTAAACATTTCCTGTTGCTGATTTTTTATTTTCATGTGCTGTGTTGATGGTTAGGATAAATCTTGGTGTAACACTTAGATACAGCTATTCAGAGTTCTGGTTCCAAATTCAGTTTATTTTGACACTTGATTTTTTTTTTTTTTTGGTAGAGGATTCTCTTGCTTTGTTGCCAAGGCTGGTCTTGAACTCCTGGTTTCAAGTGGTCCTCCCACCTCTGCCTCCCAAGTGCTTAGATTACAGGCATGAGCCACAGGACCCAGCCAGATACTTGATTTTAATGACTTTCATGACTGGAAAAAAGGTACCTTCAGAGATTCATCGATCCTAATGGAAAAACTGATCCTAATTGAAGAATTGCTCTACTCCTAATGTTTCAATTCTAAATGATCAATTATGCAAAGAATTGTGTTGAACTTGGCAATGACATTCCTTTCATTCCTGATCTCAATCAGTTTTTCAGTTACTATGACTAATTGACATTGCATATATACACACAGGTTTAAAATTCAATTTTTCAAGCTCTTTGTTCAGAAGACTTAGATTGGTTGAAATAGTCTTTACATGTCTTTAAACATTTTGTAAACTATATAGATAATGACTTAAAAAATAAGCAATGTTTTTAATAGACATCGTTTTCAGCAACAAAATTATGGAACAATGGAAACATTTCCAAATACAGTTTTTCAAATGCTCTCCTCATAGTACAAGTAGTCTTTGAAAAGTGGTTGCTTTCTTACTCATTATTAAAGTGCTATCTTTATTTTGAAAAGACAGATTAAGTGTGTTTTGTTTTTTGGAAAATATCTGCTAGGGAGCATGTACCACTGATAGTCCTTGTCATAAATTCATAAACAGTCAGTGGAGAATTCTTCTCTGTGTAAAAGGAAAATGCTAACTTTAAATCCAACCCTTACACACTTGGCCATAGGAGAGACCAGGAAACCAGAAAGTAATTGCCATTCACTGTCTCTTTACAGAGATTCTACTGTTTAGAGATCTGTTTTTATTCTGTAGAATGTATGCGGAAATGTTTCGGTGTGCAGAAGTGGAAGGAACATCCAGCTGAGGGCACCACTCTTAAGCCTTCTCTGTTGTGGAACTACTAGTCTTCTCTTTGTACCAGTTTGATATATGGCCTGAAAGAAGGTGCCAGTGCCCATTTGTATATTAAATATAAGTACAACTTTTTAATCTAAATTTGGAAAATGTAGAATGTCTCATTTTCTTCTCACATCCTTATGAATCATCTGATAATACTTTAGGATATATACATCCAGTTTTGGAGATTACTACCTTAAACGTGGCATGAAGTGGAGGGAGGAATAGAGGCAAGGGGTTTGGGATTGTTCTATCATTGGAATAGTCTGTCTAAAGATTTCATAAACTCCTTGTCCCTAGAAGTGGTTGAAATGGCAAAATGTTGAAAGGAGGAAATTCTATTTGGGTAGGAAGTTGGATTTAATGACTCATTCCTTTTTAACTCTTTATGACTGTGCCTTTATTTTTGTTTTTTAAATGGAATTTCTTTCATTAATCAATTCAATACATTTATTGAGCTCTCAGCATGTGCCACTGTGAAGGGCTGGGGGATATAGCAGTGAACTAAACAAAGACCCTTTTCTTACATGAGCTCAAGAAGATAGACATTAACAATTTATTACACTGAGGCCTTTTATTTTATTTTATTTTTGAGACAGGCTCTCACTCTGTCACCCAGACTGGAGTGCAGTGGCATGATCTAGGCTCACTGCAGCCTCAACCTCCTAGGCTCAAGTGATCCCCCTACCTCTCCTCCCCTCCCTGCAGTAGCTGGGACTACGGGTGCTTGCCACCACACCTGGCTAATTTTTGTATTTTTTGTAGAGACGGGGTTTCGCCATGTTGCCCAGGCTGGTCTCGAACTCGTGGACTCAAGCAGTCTGCCCACGTCAGCCTCCCAAAGTGCTGGGATTACAGACGTGAGCCACCTTGCCCGGCCACTGAGGCCTTTTAACTTCAGTTTAATAATGTTTCGATTGCTGCTTATATTCTCTTGGTGTTTAATAAAATCATCTTCAGTTCAAGAAACATTGATTACTGATTATTTGTCAAAGACCACCTGGAGACTAGAATGTTGCCTTCACTTTTTCTGTTTATATGCGTGAAACTCATTGATGATAATTGAAAGCAAAATGCCCTTAAACAGAAGAATAAAAAGCTCTAAAGAACTCTATAGTGGGACATTTATTTGCTGAGTAGTTCAGGTGGCTCCACTTTAAGAGTTATTTTCTTGTAGTATAGTAGTGACTAAAAAAAAAAAAAAGAAACACTTCATAGGACTAGTGAGGAAACACTTCATAGGACTGGTGTGGAAAATGTTGCTTGAGCCAAGTAGGTTGAGAATTTTTACTACTCATATATTATAGTAGCCTTGGATTTTCACAGAATGACTGAATTTCAGGGTACCTTATGCTGCAAGATACATGGGATTTTGCCTAAGTGGTTATAAGACTGGACATAAATATAACCTATTTAAACATCTTATACTTAGGGAAATTGTTTTGTAGCTTAGTGGTACAATGTAAATTCTGAAACTGTTGACTCTCCAAAACTGTTAACATTTACCAGTTTTTTTCTTTTTTTCCTTTTGTTTTTTTAGAGACAGTCTCTGTTACCCAGGCTGGAGTACAGTGGTGTGATCAGCTCACTGCAGCCTCAAACTCATGGGTTCAAGTGATCCTCCAGTCCAGCCTCCTGAGTAGGTGGGGACTACTGGTGTACACCACCACAGCCAGTTAATTTCTTTTAATTTTTGTAGAGACGAGATTTCACTATGTTGCCCAGGCTGATCTTGACCTCCTGGGCTCAAGGGATCCTCCCACCTCAGCCCCCGCAGTTGCTGGAATTATAGGCATGAGCCACCGTACCAGGCCTCTTTAATATTACTCTTCACTGCTATAATAAACCTTTCTGTATTTAGAGGTTTAAGTTTATTTCAACTTCTCTGCCACAAAATTGGGACAGAAAACTTGGTGTTTACTGAGAAGAGTTCCATCAAGTCCCGTTTCTTACATGGTTATCTAAGGTTGACAGCTCTCCACTTTACAAAGGCTAAGTCATTGCCTACGTATGCTTTAAAACACTGTTAGGTTTTTAATTGTTCATTTTTAACTATAAAATTAATATATGCTCATTACAAAAAATTCAAACAGTAAAGAAATATATGAGGTATGAAGTAATAGAGCTTAATCCCATCTCTTCCGGAGATAACATATGGTACAAAAGTTTCAAACT